ACTACTGCGGATGACCATATTTCACTACTTTGACCTTTTATATCTTGGGAAATATTGACTTTTGGGACTTGGTGCAATGATAACTTTTTATCAGCATGGCGAAAACTATAACAGTGAAATTTGATCGAAAACCATTTTGCATAGGTTTTGTGCGGGGTCCTTTATCTAAAAGATAAATATTTCGCTGATGTAACGCTCGCGCATCAGTTTGCACGATAAGAGCATAGAGATCGCAAGGTCGCGTTAAAAGATCAATTTCCTAGTCGCTGACGCAACAACGTACGCGATTCCGAATGTCGTCGTGGATGTCTCGCGAATGCTAAGTGCACCACCGACATCAACTGTAGGCGCAATTATAGGAGGCGATATATATCGCTCATAATTAGATTGAGATAGTGCCGTATGTCCGGGGACTTGTCGTGTCACCTACCAAATGCTCCCGCCGCATGTCCGGGGACCTGACGACATTCTGACGCAGACACGCGGACTCCGAAAGTCCACGCGAGAATAGATCACACACGCGATAAGCACGACTGGCTCTCTGTCCGTCGACGCGGACGCTAAAATTGCGATCCTTCGCGCAGCGCGAATTTATCAAATGCTTTCTCTCCTTTGCACCTCTAATTCAATCTCTTCCCGTCGTCTTGAATTCCCAAGCGCCACTTCACCAGCAAATTGCACCGTTTAATTACTGATGTTTAATTATTGATACAATACAATCGAGAACGCGCATTAAAAGCTCGCTCTCTCTCTCTCTCCGTAGCGGCCGATACCGCGCGAGCGCACAATTCCGACTCGCGCTACTTGCGCGGTCGCGAGGCGAAATCGTACGGGTCGCCGCGACTACGCGGATGACTCGATCGTTTCCGGTTTTCCGATGATTGAATCCGTGTATACTTTCGCGCTCGGCCTGCTCCGCGTGTCTATCCGCGCGCGTTATTTTCGGCGGCGCACCGCGATTCGACACGACACACACACGCGACGCGACGAGCCATTTCGCTCGGCGATCAACAAGGTGTTAACGAGGCATCGGCCGGAATTTCCGGTTTTCCGAAAATACCCGGGACCGTCGGCTGTCGCGAAATATCGCTGCGGTCCTGCCGGGCGACGGGACGGTACCGCATTCATTTCGGAAATCGATATAATCCGGTTGCTGGGCACACACATGCAAACACACAGGCGCGCGCGCGCGCGCACACACACACACACACACACACACACACACACACACACACATAGCCGTGCGAGGCGGGCGGCGACGGCGGCGAACCTCCGCGGAAAATGCACTCGGCGAAATGACTCGAGGCGCGACGAAACGCAGCCGAGGATATAAAAGCAATTAGAGGGGACCCAATTAACGTGGCCGCGCGAGCACGCGCGTCATCGAGCGCTTGCTCGCTGTTTATGGAAACATCGCATATTTCGCCGGACGGATGGAAACGCGGCACCCGTTTACACCGGGACTCTCGCAAATAGAAACCGCGCGAGAGAGAGCGTTAAAAGGTTGATTTCCGCGCGCGGCGAGAGCGCCGTGTCGCGGGAAATTGCGAACGTGTCAGCGCGCGCGCGCGGATGTAACCTGGTATCGATTCTGATTTATTATGCCCGCGAGCAGCGAGACGTGTTTGGCGCGCGGCGTCTTCGCTGAATGCTAAAGTGCCTCCTCGCCTCGCGCTCTCTTCCACTCCTCCTTCCCCTTTTGGACGCAAATCGCTCCTCGATCATAAACGGTCGCAAGTATTTCTTTTGTCTTCAGCGTTCGCGACTTTCTCCGTCTGTCCTTCTCCTCGGCTCGCTCTCTCCCTCCTCGCCTGTCCCATTCTCGGACAACGTTCGGGAGGATGTTTACACGGTGTAAACGACGTTTTGTTATCGCGCACAATGCGCGGTGGAAAGCACAGGGAACGTCGGGTATCCCTTCGCGTCCCGCCGTGATATCGTTATATCGGTATCGTCGTCGCTCGCGCGTTAACTGTTACTTTTATCGCGGCCGTCGCGATTGTATGCGCGACGTATGTTCTCGTTGCGCGCGGTGCGCGCACTTAAAAGTGCACACAATATGCGCAAAACCAGCGGTAAGCCGGCCCTCCGCCGCGCACCGGGTTTAAAAGCAATTAGCGAGATGTCCGCTAAATGAATGCGCTCGCCGGCCGCGGTAATTTTCGCGGCCCAATGCAAACAAATTTCCATTCTGGAAAACAAAATCGCCGCGCGCGAGCGCGCGCGGTCAGGGCTTTGAAAGCAATTAGCGATGCGCCGCATAATTAACGTGCTAATTAACGATACAATTTCGACTTGCGCGGCTGGCGTAACTTTTTCCTGTAGCAGTCGAAATATCGGCGGCGCCGCCGCAACGCGGATTTTTCATTTATTCACGCCTGACCCCCTGTCGTCCCCCCGTGGCCGACTCTGGGGGGTTTAAATGTCGCCGATGTCGCAATATATCCGTCATCCGTACGTTAAGGCACCGTTCACACGGCGCGATTTTCGAGAGCAATACATCTGAAACTCATATGTTCGTTCAGTACTTCTTTTTCTCCCTCTGCCTCTCTCTCTCTCTCTCTCTCTCCCTTTCTATCTATCTATTTCTCTGCTTCTCTCTTTCTCTCATTCCCACGACAGAGAACGGCTTCCGATAATAAAATCCTGCGCGAGCATAAAATCGAGAGTGGTTCCCGCGAGTCGTTATCGTCGTGATTCGATCTCAAATTGGATTAATTCGGCTTACGGCTTGACGTTTTATTCGCACACGTGGCCTATACGCCGCGCGTCGAAAAAGAAAGGAAAAAAAAAAAAATCGGAAAAGTTATATCGACACCAAGTCCCACGTGAATCGACCTTTAGATAACTCCGCGACACATGCGCGCGCCGCGTGCATTTAATCCGGATGAGTTTATCGGCGTTATCGCTCCGCCGGCGTTTCGCCGGGAAATAAAATTTGCGCCGGAAACGCATTTACGGGCCGGGCCGGGCTGGTCGAATGCGTTGAAACGCATTAATGTGGATAATCGGGAGAAAGAAAGTGACAACGTGGCAACGGCAACAACAGCAGCAGCAGGAACGCGGGACGTTGGACGCGCGGCATTGTGTGATTAAGCGAATGACTGTCCGAGATTCATCGCGTCTACTCCACAAAGCACAATCAGTGTATTCTTCACTGAGATATTACATTTATAACTGATGATTCAGTGATAAGTATAGCAGTGCAATCAGTCAAATATCTCACTGATAATCCTGATCCGTTCTGAGAGCTCTCCGTCGCGAAACATCGTCGCGAGTCATTTTCACGAATTGAAAGCACCGTCAAAGGTGGACGCCGGAGATAATCGCGCAAGGAAGACGACGCGCTTTGTTCTTCTTATCCACATCCGAGAGATTCAAGTCGACCCCTCGGGAAGGTCTCCTTTTAATTTCGGTCGGTTCTCTAAATCTCGGGAATCGCTCGTATCCTCGTGCGACCCTTTCTGCCCCTCTCTGTCTCTCTGTCTCGCGAAAGAAACGACTCGAAATTGTTCGTGGAATCCATAGTTGAAAGTAAAGGATGGCAATTTTCGGGACATCTCGTGCGGAGGAGAATAAGGTCGAGAGGAGTGAAGGAGGGAGGGAGACAGGGAAGGAGGAGGTAAAAGCGTGCAGAGGAAGGAGAGCGCGCTCGCTCTGTCGGGCCCCGAGATTACAATGGTAGTTTGAAATGCAAATCGCGGAGTTTATGCTTGGTTTCCATAATTACAGAAGCGGCGCGCGCGCGTTACCTCTCATAATGTACAATGCACACGGACCGACGTAATCGCGGCATTGTTCTGACGCGAAACTATTTCGTAGTGTTACGACGACTAAGACGACTAAGACGACGACAACGACGAAACGCGAGACGTGACAGCTTGTAAGAGCAAGAGGAAATATATTGGAACATCGCCAGCGATGCTTGCGCAGCTTGCCGCGGTAATAAAGAAAAAAATGACGTTATCCTGGCGTATATCAGAGTTTTGAGAGAGAAATGCTTACGTAGCGCATCGACGAGCGTACACGAGACATCGTCGCTGCTCGGCGTATTTATACGACGTCGTAAACGTCCAAGAGAGATAACCCAAGACAGACGACAAGTCTTTCTTACCGATCTTTCTTATCAGGCCAGTCAAAATATTCAAGTAATACAGGCAATACACA